CGATAAACAGCCCGGCGAATCAATCATCTCATGACTGTCAGCTTCTCATGCAATCCCAACTATGTCACTAAGGTACCTCAATATATCTTCCTAAACGTATAGAGAGTTGAGTTTGCGAATCGAGCGTCAAGTTGTGAGAGAATACCGTACACCCAGCTCTGTATGTGAGGCATTGGACTAGCAGGCGAGGTAAGGACGGAACTTTAAGGACCCCGAGCTTGCACCCGCTGGTGCAAGGAATGGAGCTATGCCGAGGTGACCTCATACATTCGACGGGACCCCTGTACTCCTCACGAGCGGCTCGTTCCAGATGGCACCGCATCATTCTATAGCCTCTCAATCGATGCAACCACTCTTCATCATCCAACCTCACTCCAAACGGGTAATCTACCATTATCAAACACCTTGCATCAGTGACCGCCGTTGCCCGTCATGTCAGACTCCATCGCATTCTCCCCGGGTCCCTACCACATCATCTCGTAAGTCGTTCTCTCTCAGAGTGCATCGAGTCAGATCATCCTTCGTCGTTCATCGATACTCTAATACTATCAACATAGCTATGGAGCCCTCCTAGGAACGACGTTCTTCCATGTAAGTCACCACCACAATCCGGATCCTGGATCAAAGTACCCTAACAGGCCAAATAAGTCCTTTGTAAACGGCATCACAATGTTCCGCGTCCTCGAGCGGCCGGCCTTTGCAACCGCCCAAAACGCCCTGTTCCCCGTCTACTTCACCATTCAGACGGCTCTCCCCGCCCTCATGGCCCTCACCTACCCGGGCAGCCGCAGCCTCCTCGGCGAGCAGGCCAGCAGCATCACCGGCCTCCTCCAGGAGTCGAACCGCTACACCGCCCTGCTGCCCATCGCCACCATGTTCCTCACGGGCCTCGTCAACCTTGCCGTCGTCCTGCCCAAGACCGTGACGGTCATGAAGGCTAGATATGCCCAAGGTGAGTTTGGCACTGATGACAGCCCCCGCATCGCATCGGCGTCTACGGCTGGCCGAAGGGTGGTGGTACTGACTAGTGGTTACAGAGAAGAAGGATGGAAAGAAGAGCTACGACGCCGCGCCGCATTCTCAGGAGATGCAGGCTCTCAACAAGTCCTTTGGCAAGCTTCACGGCATCTCCACCCTAATTAACCTGGCTGGCTTCATTGCCATGATCCAGTACGGTTTCTCGCTAGCAGCTCGTCTTGACTAAGGTCACGTCCATGTATAGTAGTGTAAGGAGATTAGGTGACTGGTTAGGTTGGCCGAAGCCGTGTATTAGGATTTGACTCATTTGCACGTATGTACAAGTCGGCAGATTACCGCAAAACGCAGTACGTTCTCACTTTTCCCGTCCCTTTTAATCATGTTTATCAAGTGAACCCCCCGAAAAATAAGAAGTTGCTCAAGCTCGAATGAAACGCCGTTTGGTGAGGTGCAAAGACATTCGTCTCTGTGCGCTACTGATTGCCCTGATGTTGCGCTGTCCGACGCCTCTGCCTTCCTCGCAGACTGCTAGTGCTTCCTCCGCCAGTCCGTCCGTCCGTCCGTCCATCAATCCGATTTTACGCCTGGGTATCGTCTTCGACTGGCGCAAGGTGCTCGACGCGAGTCCGTTCGCGAGCCGAACAAGCCGTGTGTCGAAGTGTACTGAAAATGCAAGAACACCGAAATTCAATCATCGTCGCCGGCGGTAACTCGTGGGTTGTGTCGCCGTTGCTGTAGCCAGCGACATCTTGTCCCATTTGGCCGTGATTCGTTGTCGCCTAGAAGTTGTTCTTGCGCGGCGGGAGCGGAACGTTCTTGAGAGCCTCGCTGGAGGCGAAGAGCTCCCTCTTGGCATCCTCAAGGGCCTTGCGGCGCTGGGCCTTGACCTTCTCCTCGTCGACGACCTGGACGGGTCGCTCGACGGCAATGGCTCCTCTGACAGTCCAACGGCCAGGCTTGCGGGAAAGAGCCTCCTCGACGTCGATCTCGGCGGCGGGCTTGGGGAAGTCGCGGGAGAGTGGCGGCAGGGGGTTCTTGCTCTGGAGCGTGGAAGAGGTCGTAACGGTGCCGCCAGGAGTGATAACGGGGCGATCCTGGATCTCGGCAGATGTGCGCGAAGAGGTGGTTGTAGAGCTCTGGATAGAGGTGAAGTAGTCGTCCTGGACAGAGGCGTCGGTGGAGCCCGTGACGGGCGTCTGAACGTTGTGTGCCTGAGAAGCCATTGTGTAGTCGTAGGTGGGAAGAGATGAAAGGTTGAGCAGTTGCTCTTCAGAGATAGGGAGGGGAGCCATGGCTGCTGATATATGGGCTATCGAAAAGCTGTCTCCGGTGGGGTCTGATTTGCCGCCTTTCTTCGGTCCAATGCTGACGAGACGATTGTTTGGGACGGTGGAGAAAGATAGCGTAGGTCCGTAGGGAAGAGTCAGGTTCCGCGGGACTATTTTGAGTGGGTGTGGGAGGAAAAATAGGGATTAATCTGGACCAAGGTGGACAAGGTTATGGAGAAAGGGCCGCAGGGTACGGACGAGCCAGGGAACCGTGGTATGTGTGGATGTGGTTGACGTTAGAGGTGGGCGGAGGAGAGCTCTCGTATCGATCTAATTGTTAACGCTGCTGTTTTTGGGTGCAAAGGGACGGCGGCCGAGGGAACCTTGGGTGATCGTGACGAGGGAAAGAAAGTCAAAATATCGACGGCAGGCTCTTCCGGTCCAAAAATTGGCTATCCTTGTGACTTGTGACCGTAAAGTCCGAACATGTGTGGTGTGTGGCAAGCGGGGAGGAGCAGATTTATAATACTTTCCGTCTGAAGCAAACGACCTGTTTTTTTTTTCTTTTTGGATGTGTGTCTGATGTGTCTCTCTATGGGAAGAAGCAACGGACCGAAAGGGCAATAGCGATGAAAAATCGTTCATCGCCTGAAGTACCTCGGCGAATTGCAATTTTCACCCGGGAAGGGTCCGTAGAGACGGATCAAACTAGTGAACTTTTTTTTCCAACACACGCTCTCTCTTTCTGAGTCTAAAGTAGGTACTAGTCGGTGTTGTCTGCTACACCTTCCTTACATGGGACCTTTTCCATGCTTCACCTGGCTTAGCTCCCCCACGCCGAACGTGGCCAGCCTGTCAGCCGCCCAGCCAAGCAACCAACCTCATCCACACCCAAACGCCCCCCAAGGGCCAATACTCACGATCCGTGCCTTTCCCCGGACGAGGGTCTCGACGATGCTGCACCTGAACTCCTCTCCTCCTGAGCTCCCCCTCGACACCCCACGCTCATTCCCCAGGGTCTCTGCCTGGTCGGTGAAACCTGCGAAAGCGGTGAGGCAGACATTCATCTACACCGCTCAAGGAATGGCGCATTGTGCTGACCGTGGTCGGCCGCTTCGGGCAACTTCCTCATCCTGGTCCAAGTCCAGCTTAGGAAGCAATAGAACCAGACCCCATGGCATGCCGCGCACGCAATTCGGCCTCGGATTGTGTGGTTGAAAGCCCGACTGGGATGGCAGTTGCGACGCCGTAGTCGGAGGTCCAAACGATGTTGCGAACGGAAGAGAGCCGCGGTGGTGGTTGCTACACTGACAGAAATGCAGCGGAGCCAAGCAGAATTCCATCGATTGATCATCAGGGACTAACACTTTCAGGGTCCGCCGCTTAGTCTGGTCCGTTGCCGCTGATCGGTACAATGGCCCCCGATCCAGAGTTCCAGACAATTTACATGCGAAGTAACATCTGCCACCGCCCAAGTTGACCCCCGTGCACTCGTGCACCTGCGACGGCATCTTACCCGGCTCCCACGGAGGTTTCGCGCTGGCGCTTCGACGTTCTTACCCCGGGCCCTTGGAAGCTGAAGGATGACAGACGGACACGGCGGGCGATCTGACGGATTGCGCTTCAATCCAATCTGCTAAAGGAGATCGGCATACGTCGATGGGAACTGTCAGATGTACCCATTGGCGCCGACCGTATTTACGGTACGGATACCCTTGTCACCCGAAAAAAAGCAACGCGATGGGGAGTTAAGAAAATTGGCATATGAAAAATCCGTTCTCGACGCCACCACGCCCGGACACTCCGTTCAACGACTCATCTTTGCCATGCGATGACAGCACCCCACCTGACGTCACCTGGCTTAACGTTGGTCAACAGCAGTCAGATAGTTACGCAGTACCTAGATGCATGCTGTCCATGCCGAAGTCGAGGTGGTAGGAAAGCGATTACAGATGGAGACACATGGTCAGCAGGTACGCAGAGGTGCTGACATAGCTGCAATGCAAGCCCGACAGAGCACAGAGACTCCGCACCCGGAGCGTTTGCTTGTTTTCTTCTCCTCGGCGTGGGGGCCCGTTCAGCCACTGCGACCGGCAGCGGAACGGGCTTTGCATGGCGCTTATTGTCTTGCATTCCATCTATCCCATTCACCAGGTTGCATGTATGCTTCTAGGTTGACTTGCGTTGCTGGACATGCTGGAGCACGTACATTTGAACTTAGCTGCATTTCTCAATCACTCCGGCCCATGGGGAAATCCCCATTTTTGTTGAAATGCTTGTGAGCGCCATGCCGCTGTTCATGGACAGGAATGTGGGCTGGCATTGTTAGATGTTGCAGTGGTCCGGTTTCGCAGACATGAGGTGAGGTTGGAATCGAATATGTAAGAATATCAGATGAATGCGAGCAACATGCCCAGCCACTCTACTTGTCTCGACTGCAATGGATATAATCTGGGGAAGAAGACACGACACTCAACGCGGCGATGAGATCTCAGATTTCATCGAACAATTCCTACCTACTTTACTTACTCAAAATACCTAGGCACTCCAACATCCGCTAGCCTCAACACTTGAGAGACCTGATAACAAATCCTTGGCCCATTGCATCCATGTCAGAGAGCTACAGACATGTTTCTGGACCTCCCCTTAGTCTCTATCCATCCTCCCCAGGTTTCAATAATCCCATGTCATCCAGATCGAGCCGTCACTTGCAAGGCCTCTAAGTACCACCAGCATCCGCGAACCAATCGGACGATGGCCGTCCGACCTCAGTCCCCCCACTCCGTCGTCAGTGCCGCATGCCAGAAACCCGCTTCCGCACCCTTGTCCCACCATCCCGAAACTCAACCTCTAGAACGAACTGCACCTCATTCTCACCTTAGTAACCTAGCCCTGTCCGATAGACTTTTTGTTGAAATCTAAACACCAAGCTCTCAAAAGTTCACGATGTCTCAACAACAGCAGCCTAAATATCTCACCGGTGACTCTGCCGCTACTCAAGAATTCCTCGACAAGTTTGACGTGAGCAGCAACCAACCCCCACCTCGTTGAGTCATTTTCACCAGTGGAGAATCTCACGATGTTCGGAAAATGAGACGAGGACTTTGCTGATCTCATGAGATATAGGTCTTCCTCATCGATTGTGACGGTAATTCTCATCGTCCTCGTTCCGGATGAAACAAGTGCTTCTTCTGAGCACAACTGACAACTCTTCTCCTACGCAAACAGGCGTCCTCTGGTCCGGAGACCACCTATTCGACGGCATTCGCGAGACGCTCGCCTTCCTTCGCTCAAGAGGTTGCTCACCCTGAACTTTTCCCCTTTAGAAAATCTCTTACAAATCGCATGTCTCGGCCCCTAACCTCTTGAGTGCTCGTTTCCCCCCACCAACAGGCAAGCGCACCGTCTTCGTAACAAACAACTCGACAAAGTCCCGCCAAGAATACCACAAAAAGTTCGCCGCCCTCGACATCCCCTCGGACGTGGAAGACATCTTTGGCTCAGCCTACTCCTCCGCCGTCTACGTCTCCCGCATCCTCGACCTCCCCGCCGACAAGCGCAAAGTCTTCGTCATTGGCGAAGCCGGAATCGAAGCCGAGCTCCGCGCCGAAGGCGTCGACTTCATCGGCGGCACCGACCCTGCTCTGCGCCGCGACATCGGCCCCGAGGACTTTGCCGCCATCGCCGACGGCTCCGCCCTCGACCCGGAAGTCGGCGTCGTGCTCGCGGGACTGGACTTCCACATCAACTACCTCAAGTTGAGCTTGGGGTACCAGTACCTCCGCCGCGGCGCCGTCTTCCTCGCGACCAACACGGACAGCACGCTGCCCATGTCGCACACGTTCTTCCCCGGCGCGGGCTCCATCTCGATCCCGCTCGTCAACATGAGCCAGCAGCAGCCCGTGGCGCTGGGAAAGCCGTCGCAGGCTATGATGGACGCTGTCGAGGGCAAGTTCCAGTTGAACCGCGAGCGGACGTGCATGATTGGCGACCGCCTCGACACGGACATCAAGTTCGGCATCGAGGGTAAGCTGGGCGGTACGCTTGCCGTCTTGACTGGCGTGCACAAGAAGGAGGATTGGGAGAAGGAGGGGGCCGCGGCCGTGCCGGCGTACTACGTTGACAGCCTTGCCAGCCTGAAGCTTGATGTTTGAGGGAGGGAGATGAGTCAGGCCGACTGGGTGGCAATGGTCGGGATGAGTTTGGTATGATTATTTTTCCTATGATTACATGCGTCGGATGCATAGATGAACTCCATAACGACCTCACCAGAAACTAGAAAAAGACCTTCTCTAGAAGAATACACAGATGCATTTCACCATCTATTCCAGCCCCCGGACCAGAAAAGATTCCCCGTTACGGCTGAATAGGCCGTGTCTTAACATGGACAAGCATGTTTCTAGTCTATTCCTTCTTTATTTATCCTTCTTGCTCTGGCGCTTGGCAAGCTCGCTCGTGCGGATGACCTTTGGCGGGGGCTTCTTGTACGGAAACAGCGACTTGGGCATAAACATGCCAACTTGGCTCTGGTACTCGGCGTACTCGTGATACTTGCCCGCAGTGATCAGCTCAGTGAGCCATGTCGAGCCCTGGAACAGCAGCACGAGGAACGCGGAGCCGGCAAAGGTGTAGCTGTACAGCACCTTGGTGGCGTAGCAGCTCCACTGGTAGAGCACGAACCAGACCATCTGCTCGGCGAAGAAGTTGGGGTGGCGGCTGTAGGCCCAGAGACCGTGCGTGACGAAGCCACGCTCGAGGTCCGCCTGAGCCCAGCCGCGGGGGACGGAGGCGGCGGCGCCGTTGCCCTTTTTGTAGGTGGCTTTGGCGGTCTGGTAGTCCCACTGCTGGCCGTCGCTGATGTACTCGCTGAGGACGAGGCCGGCGAGGATGGCGAAGAAGGAGTAGTCCGAGGCGGCGAGGTCGGGCTCGATGCGGCTGGCGAGGAGGAGGGAGTAGGCGGGCGCGGCGGAGAAGGCGAAGAGGAGGATGGACTGGATGAAGGAGATGAAGGTCACGTTGAAGAGGAAGAAGACCCAGGCGGGGACATATGCGCGGACAATTTCCCTACGTGGATGCACAATGTTAGAAAACTTGTTGGAGGGGCAATGTTCGATGGGGAGGAGATTCAGTACCATCTGTAGTCTTCACTTCCACGCTCGTAACCTCCTTTGCGCCAGTAGTTGAAGGTCAATCGGGACTATCGGCACAATGGTGTCAGCACTTCATCTCCTCGAGCTGCGTGGCCACTAGGTCGTTGTTGTTCTCCTTACGCTCCAGAGGGTGGTCGCGGCCCCGGCCAGCGCGACTCGCTGCCAAGGTTCGCCATTTAGGTACGCCCATGCCGCCGTGTGCAGGACATACCAGTTGGGCAGGAGACTCCACAGCCGGTCGATTTGGGAAAAGTTGCGGTGGTACTCTGACACGCCGAGAGTGAGGACGGCAATGAGCAGGGAAAAGGCGAAGCCGGAGACGAGGGGGTTCGTCTCGAGGTAGATCTGGGGCAGCGACTGCGGGCTCGCGATGATCTTGCCGGGGAGCTCGAGGAGCTGGGGGATGAAGGGTTCGACGACCTTGGCCCACTCGGAGCACTCCTCTAGAGACTTGACTGCGGGGAGCGCCATTGCGGACAGGTGAGGGTGTCTGAACTTGGCCTGGATTCTAGTGTAGCTGCGATTTTGCACCTCCAGACGTTTGAAAACTGCGAATGGCTTGCGAAAAGGTTGTCTCGAGGACCGTCTTTATTGACGACACAGCTTTGGTGGTGCAAATGGGAGCAGCAGTGAGGTGATGCAAACAAAGCGCGTCATAGATCCGCAGGGAGCTTAGGTCCCCGCCGCCAGCTCCGGTGACGTGCAGGGGTCTTCGGCCATTTTGAGACCGAAGATCCGTCCTCTGCGCAACCTAGAGATCCATACCTAGGGTAAGGTAAGGTAAGGTAGATGGAAAACCGTTGCTTACAGTACCTACTCTTTCTGTGAGAAGGTACTGAGCAGGGGAAATGTAACTTTGTAGTAAGAATAAGAACTTCTGGCAGTGAGATCTCAGATCTGTGCAATGGTGTCGATCAATCTGTACAATTTTCCCCGATGAGATGTAGAGTTGGACCGGTGGCTTACGTCAGTTTAGTCTTGCATGTGAGGTGGTGGCCACCATCTCGACAGGCTCAACTTTTGTATCAGTAGGTATCCACGTATTCAATTAGGTAGGTAATCCTATGTATTCACGATGCGTATATTCGTGGAGAGCAACGACCCCACCCCCATAGGGCCAGAATTGCAATGTTTGCTCTAAGGAAGCACCGCTCGTTGTCAACGACGGCCGAACGGTACAATTGTGCCTTTAACACTCTACTCTTAGAGTGCCTAGATGGGCAGCCTTGAGTGGCAAGCGGTACCAGATGTGACGCCATAGCGGGCAGCTTCCCTTTTTATCATTTCGGTTAGGAGATGCAATTTCCAAGAAGGATCCTGATGCCGTCACCAGAGGTACCTACCTGGCTGACCCTCGAGATCGAGGGGGGTCGCGGGTTCGAGACGACTTACTTTGCGACTTTTTCCCTCTTCTTCTTTTCATCCCAACTAAGGTAAGGTAGTTAACTCATAACCGTCCGTACATTTACGGGCAGCATTTCGATTGCCTGGGGATTCCAGCTTCGAGAGTCGAGGTACCGCTGCTTAGATAATCGATGGCACCTCAAGATCGCCAACCGGCCCAGGGGTTCCAGAGCTGAAGCCCAGAAGCACGGCGCGAATCAGCGCGGCAGCCCCGCTGTGGGGTTAAGCTAGGCATAGGTACCTTAGCGAGGAAGATGGTCTCGACTTCAATTCAACGACAACGACGTGCATTTCAAAATCTTTCATGTGTCGATGGGTGACATTAAAGTTGGGCAGAGCTTTTAGGATTTCTTCGCAATCACATACGCTGGATTCCTCAGCACGTGCTAGAGACACTGATTAGCTGCCGTATGAGGGTTTGACGCGCTCAAGCCCGTGAAGACGCGTCTCCGAGGCAAGGACGTAGATATCGCAAGATGCTCCTGCTCTCCCAGCAATAACATTTGTGACTGCACTCGCGGGAAGTGCCGGGGATCAAAGACCTACCGGGCCCCAAACCATCTACATGCAGTGAGCACCAGTTGTTCCTACACATCGAGAAGATGAAGGTCCTCTGCGTTGCCGAGAAACCATCCATTTCGAAAGCCGTTGCCGGCCATTTGGCAGGACGAAGCCCTGAAGTCGTGAGTATCGCATCAAGCAAGCCGCACTTTTCTGGCGAAAGCTGACACTTCTCAGCACAACACTCGTTCTCAATACATCAAAAACTATGGCTTCGACTTTGACTTTGGCGCCCCGTGGGGTTCGTGTGGTGTTACCATGACGGCCGTTCTGGGCCATCTTACGGGACTCGAGTTCACACCAGAGAACAAGAACTGGTCGCACCCGCCGCCAGAGAGCTTGTTCAGTGCACCAGTAGTAACAGTAGTGCCTCAGGTACGTCTTCTGCTTCTCGTTATAGGTTGCCTGGATTCTGATAGTCGCATGTGTAGGACAAGAAAACCGTTGCGGAGAACATTGAGCGGCAAGCTCGGTACTGCCAACTTCTTGTCATCTGGACTGATTGTGATCGAGAGGGAGAGCACATTGGAAAAGAAATCGTCAATGCTGCCAAGAAAGGCAACAGCCGAATCACCGTCAAGCGTGCCACTTTCAGCAACATCGAACGAGCGTAAGCCTGGCCCCTTTTTTGTTACATGCGAGTGTCTCTCTCTGACAGCTTGTAGCCACATTCTCACTGCTGCCCGACGCCTCACAGACCTTGATCAGAAACAAGTCGACGCCGTAGATGCGAGAATAGAGCTGGATCTTAGGATTGGGTATGCTTTTACGCGTTTCCTGACCATTAGCCTTCGCCCCCTGGGAGGT